TCACCTGTGGCAGCAGCCTGGAATACGTGCTGAAACAAAGCTGTGGTCCTTGGAGAGATTATCATAAACAAATAGAAAAAATGTACTCAACCCCCTTTCTTCTGCCTCGGGTATGCTAGGAAATCTGTAAGGGTCTAGAAAAATCTCCAGGATATTAAATTGTGTCAAGAATGAATTTGGCTGCTGCCTCTAGAGTCTAAATTCATGTACCCTACTTAGGTTGTTTGCTTATGAAATGCCCTGTTCCCAGTATCTGAGAGCCATTCCTAGAATAGAGACCAGGTCCTGCTGAGATCTTACAGGCTCTCTGCAGTCAAATAATAGCAAGTATGATTTAAGTTGTTATACTTTGTGCTGTCCTGTCTAATGTAGTTGGTGAATTAAGGATGTGCCAGTTCTGATTTGTGAAATATTTTATGGGTTCAAAGGAGTTGGGTTATAGGTTAATGTCAGTGAAATTTAGGGCTTAAAAGTTCAGATATCCTTTGGTTACTGAACTGTTACAGCCACTGTGTCCTTTTTGGTTTTATGTCTCTGGTGTTTTGTCAAAGGCTTGTATAATTAACAGATTATATATATGGCTAAAGAGATGCTTTTTGCTTTGTCTTGTTTGCAGTTAAGACACCAATTATTTCTGTTGTTAGACAGAAATTGCTGTTGTAGGATGCCACAAACACTTGTAATGTAATATTAAAAAGCTCATGTAGCTTTCATTTGAATTATGTAGGCTTTGTTTGCCCATGCCAATTGATGTGGTATACACCTGGGTGAATGGCACAGATGTTGAACTGATCAAAGAATTGCAACAGGTCAGAGAACAGATGGAGGAAGAGCAGAGAATAATGAGGTAATAATCTTATGTATTTTTTTCCTTTACCCAACAGCAGCAATCTAATGCAGTACTAGTTCTCTGGTTTTCTCCCATGTTACTCAACATCAAAATTCAAAGCACGTTTTCTTACTCCTTCATTTGATTATTCTCAAAACCTTGTTTCAGTTTTACATTTAGCTACAATTAGCCTCTTTAGAAAACTGTTTAAGATGCAGAGCATAATAATTTAAAGAATAAAGGCTGTTCTGTCTTGAATTTGTCCAATGCCATGCAGAAAACTGTGTTTGTGTGTGTCATTTTATATTGATTTCTATAACCTCGTTTGTTAATAATAATAATGAAACTATGTCTCAAATGTGTAATCTCTCTTCACGCCCTTCTTCCTCCTCAGCTCCCCCCAGTATTTCTTTTTTTTTTTTTCTGGCTTAATAAAATCTTAAGCATATGTTTCTTAAAGGCTATTTTTAAAAGTTAGATTTGTAGTCAGTCTCCCAAACACTGAAACTGAGAAAGAGGAAAATAATTTATTAATGTTATAAAGGTATGAGTCAGCCTTCTAGCTAAAAAGGAGAAGATACGTATTACTGCATTTGGTGTTATAGATTGCGCTATACGGTTCTGCAAAATTCCTGATCTAAGGCTTCAAGGCAGCTGTTTCAGATACCTTGGATTGTATCTTGTAACCATCTATTTAGTTCTTAATAACCAACTTTGTAGTCACATGATCAGCTTAGGCTAAATGGAAAAAGAAGTCTATATTTTAAGGGTTGTAATACATTCAGAATAATCTGAAATCCACAAGTGAGCAGATTAATCTGATTTTTGGGATTTTACGACTTGCAATTTAGGTACCACTGACAATGTGATCACAAGTGAATTCTAGATCTTTGTTTTGCTGCCTATTAGTAGAACAGGCAGCAAGAATTAGTTTAGTATTAGTAAAACTTTAAATCTTTAGACTTTGAAGTCTAAAGTCTAAACATCTTAAACGTGTACTTTGCTCTGAAAAGCTTTCAAATTTATACTAATCTAGCAGTTCATATAGCAAATGTCAGTGGTTTTAGCTTTGTCATCGCTCATGCTGTGATTCCCATTTTACAAAGGGGAAAAACATTTCCTCCAACCCCCCTCATAATGCTGATGTGGAAAGTTGATATCAAGCTTACGAGTAAGACTTGTGTCCATGCCATGTTCATTATCTACAGGGACACCTGGTTCTCTCCCTTGTAGATAATTTTTTCATGTGCTTTGAAATCAGCCAGCACTGTTACAGAAAGAGCTGTTTCATGGGATCGAGATAACTGCAGAAGACAAAGGCAAGGATACTGCAAATCTCTGCTGATCAGCGTGTATTTTGTATTGCATAGAAAAACTTAGTAAGTTGTAACTTTGTGGTTTATACGCCTGAATTGAGTAGTCATGGTCCAGGTGCTTTATTCCTTATTGGAAAGAGTAACTTGCTGAATCGTGGTTCTCTTTCTGTTGGTGTGCGTAGAAGGGGGCCCTTCTGATATTAGTATTAATATTATTACTTAGTATCAGTACTTCACTACCTTTACATTAATCTTTATTAGTTTCTATGTGCACACAGCAAATGCATGATAAACATCAGAATATGTATGTTAGGCAAAGCAATCAAGTCGGCCTAGTTTCAGGTCACTTCACCCTGGTTTCTTATCAATGCTTTTTGTATCAGCATCAGTTTTGTTAGGTAATCTAATAATAACCCCTGAAAATTCTGTTAGCAAAAAGAGTCCTGCTGCCACAGCTGTGAGCATAACAAGAAGTGTTGAGTTCCACTGCATGAAGGTGAGCAGTGAGGGGCATGTGTCAACCTGTGCTCACCTTGGCAAGGCTAATGGCAAGACAGTTTTATAATTGGTTTTTCAGTGCATTCACAATGTGTCCCTGACTCAGTTAACAACCTGAAATTAGACTAAATTCCTTCCTGTCAACTCCAGAGTTATTTAATGAAGTTGTTTTTAACTTTATTATAGGGAAATCCTTGGAAAGAATGCAACAGAACCAACAAAGAAGAGGTGAGGTTTTTTGGGTTTGGGCATAAATTGGAATAAATGATATCCTACTCATTGTTAGCTGAAAGCAGATGCTGGCTGCGGAGGTCATTTGGTTTTCTATAGCCTGTTCATGTTTTCCTTCTATGTCACTTCAAGAAAAGTTGACAGCATGATATATATATATATTGAATAAAAGTAATGTTGTGACATATGTGAGTGAGCTTCTTAAAATGGACAGTAAGTTCAAAAACTGTATCCTTGTCACTGGTTAAGCATAGTTCCTATTTTGAGTGGATTTTTAATGCATATGTACCTGGAATTTTATAATTCAAAAAGCATGAAAAGTTTTTCAGCATTGCTTTCACCTGCCGTTTGTATATGTGACACAAGTAATTGCTGTGAGGGTTCAAGCCTCTTGCAGCTCTGCTGTCAGGAAGTGGCAGGGCTTGGTCTGCCCCGTTTGTCATTTGGCTTGGTTGTTCTATTATTTAGAGATCTTTATAACGTCTTCTCTGTGGGCAAACTTTGAAATCTTGGAAATGTTTGGGAAAAACGTAACGGGAATGAATGAAACTGTAACAGCCAGATACCTTCTGCAGCAAAATAAGCATGCTCTTAGTAACTTCCCTCTGCCCCAGCAGATGTTAGAAGTACTGGATTAGATTTTACAAAAACTTCTCTCATTGCATCTAACATTGATTTTTTTTTTGTCTTAAATTTTCTACTGTTGTTAAATATACCTTTGTTATTTTGCTGCAGTGAGAAGCAACTGGAGTGTTTGCTGACACACTGCATCAAAGTGCCAATGCTTGTTTTGGATCCCGCGCTGCCTACCAATGTCACACTGAAAGATCTGCTGTCTATTCATCCTACTTTACAAGCTGCTAGTAATATGTTCTTCGTAGCAAAACCAAAAAATCCTTCTACCAACGTGACAGTAATTGTTTTTGATAACCCTAAGGATGGTAAGAAGCTATTTGTCAGATTCCAGCTAGTTTTCTAGATAAAACTTTTTAGTAAGCTGCTGTGAATTTGTTTTCTTCCCTCCAATACTGACTGCCACTAAATTTTCTGCTTGACTTTAGCAAGTCATTCAGCACCTCTTGCCCTCAGTCTGTTCCTCTAAATGATGACATTAATGATACTGCTTGCGTACCTCCCAGGCAGCTGATTACAGATGATTAGAGTTTCATGCTTTAAAAGACTATTGCAAAACAGGCTTGATATCTGAATGTCTGTGTTGCACTGATAATCTCAGAAGGCTGAGGTTTAGACTGAGGAAGATTAGTTTTAGAAATCCTCTTTTAATTGCTGTGAAGTCTAGGTTGAATATTGTGCAATAAGTTCTGCCCTTGCTCAAAGGATTGCCTACCTTAAAACAAAATTATCCATGCATTCAGCATACATAAGTAGGATCTTAGAGCAGATACGGGCTTCTTATTTTTTTTTTAGTATGTAGTGCCAGACCACTATCACCCACTAGCCCGACCACTACTGTTTGTTTTACCAAGAATTATTTACCACTTAAAGACAGCTGTTCATACCATAAATATCCAAATCTTTCTAATTTACAAAAGTGTATCTTAGTAGAATATGTAAAGAAGTAACTTTCAGTTTTTGATTTGCAATGCATTTTATGTATTCTAGTTGAAGCTGCTCATTCTGGAATGTTAAAAGACAACAGCAAACACATAGTATGGAGGGGTTACCTGGTATGTACTTTTAAAATCAGTTCATTAGCTTTTCAGTATCTTAAATTTTTTGTACGTTTTAAAAAATGTTTCTGTGCTATTTTCTTTCCGGAGTTTGCATGTAATGAAAAGTGAAAACTTTTAAAATAACCCTTATTTCAATTTTGAAGCTTTTAAAAAGTGTTTCTGTGCTATTTTCTTTCCAGAGTTTGCATGTAATGAAAAGTGAAAACTTTTAAAATAACCCTTATTTCAATATTGAAGCTTGTGTTAAGTGACAAAATATTCACTATTACATCTATCACCTAATGAAGGATTGATAGATAAATATGAATTACTGTAAATTTAAAAAGGTCTTTATACTCTGTTTCCTTGTTTCTAGACTACAGACAAAGAAGTTCCAGGTCTAGTTTTAATGCAAGACTTGGCCTTCCTTAGTGGATTTCCAGCTACATTCAAAGAAACTAATCAGCTACGATCTAAACTACCAGAGAGCCTGGCCTCTAAAGTAAAACTGGTAAGGGTCTGTAAGAAAGAGTAACTTACTTGTATTGGTCTTTTGTAATGGGTCACATATGGGATTTCATCCACCTAGGAGATTTAGGATGTTTCTGATAATGATCTGATTTTCTTTGTGACTCTGTTTTCTTGAGTTGTGAAGAGTAGTAAATAGTGATTCACATACTTGCCTTCAAAAGACCAATTGTCCGTTTTGTGATTGCAAGTTATTAAGCATTTAAAAGTACCAGCCTTACCAGTTTCTCTCAGCCATTTGCTACAGGCTGTTGTCCTACTGAAGTGTACTGTATCACTGCCTTGTTTAATGTGACAGAATTCTGTTCATGTAGCTGCTTAGCTTTTTCCTTCCCTCTGCTTTTAGAAGAATTATCTTAATAGTAACAACTCTAGATTGTTTCACACCTACATACTGTATTTCTCTCTGCCAAGTACTCTGTAAGGTCACGAGCAACTTGCACTTCAACTTACCCACCTTCAAGGCAACAGTAGATCACAACTTGTGTGACTGTACCATCATAAAGTATTTTGTGCCTTCTGCCTGCTATTGAACATTCCAGTTACAGCCAGGTTTAAAAGGTAATAGTTTCAAAAGTTTGTGAAAATCATTGGCTTATGTGCTGCAGATGTGATTGGTGGAGTGAATAGGGACTGAGGCCAGAAAGTTTGTGGAGGAGGAGTTAGTGTGCAGAAAGGGTTGTCAGTTCATAGGTAATCTGTCTTTGTTAGTTTGCCCATCTGTAGGATGTACTAATTCACTTTACAGCTTGTTCTTGGTGCTCAAATGACTTCCTTGCCTTGCCTTTTTTTTTTTTTTTTTTTTTTGGCAGGCTGGGTTAACAAATCATGTATTCTACTGTTGCAGAAACGATATTGAGTAACTCCTTTCATAGGCTGGTAATGCTGCAACTTAACACAAGCTGAATTTCTTCTTTCTTGTCCCAGCTTGTGTTAGCAGGCTGCCTTAGAGTCTCGCTAACAGGTGAACATACCTGTACCTGTCTACAAGCTCTTACGAGATAAACAGCTTAACAGAGAGAGCTCTTGAAGAGTTATTTAAGCTTAAATAGTTATTTTCTTTTGCCGTTGTTTATACCTGTAGTGTATTCATAGAGAGTGCTATGGCTCTTCCTAGCCTTTGTTTTACTAAGTTAATCAGGCAATGCTTATCCAACAGCATTGACTCTCCATTCCTCTCGTACTTCTGACAGCCCTTCCCCACCATTTATATCATGGATTTGTCTGCCTTCAGTATGATTGACTGGAATTTTGTGTTTTAAATGTGGCATCTCCAGAACTTTTTACACAGTGAAAAACATTGTAGAACATAACTAACACAAGACTGGCAAACTTGCTGTGTGTTACATTATGCCCATTGCAAATAGTGTTGCCACCATTTTACACTACCTCCATTGCATCCTTCCACTGCTGGCTATTGGTGCTGATCATAAATATTGTCTCTTGCTATTGCGAATCTGTTGCTAGTTTGGGTGAGAGATGGCAGATGTGCTCTGGTGCAGCCAGAGCATCCTTCCTTTTCTTTCTTAGTGGCACACTGGTTAAATAGCAATGGATATTCATATGGTCATCTTGCTAGTCTCTGCGTGTTTTATGTGCTATGGGTATTTTTTGAATTGCTTTAAAGAAATGCTGCTTACTGTAAAGAAGTGAGATTGTTATCCATCAGGAGATGGTACTTCAGTTCTGCTGTCTGAGATACTAGATTCTTCATTTCGACCTTGGACAAGGAATGTTTTTACTTGAATGCTTCCTGACTTTGAGCAATCTGAAGAATCTTCTTTGAGTGCAGAGTCATCCATTTGCTTTTGGAGTTTTTTATAGTTCCTCACCACAGTTTAAGTTACAGGTTATTGGTAGTTTTAACACAATTGACTTAATGGAGCTGAATTGCTCAGAATACCTTTGACTTCAATTACCAGCTCTTTTCATTTATTAAACTTGCCCTTTAGCATTTAAGAAATTTAGTTACAAGATGTTCCTTTAATTATTTTTTTTCTGTTGCAATTAAAAATCAATTAGCCTATGTTTTCCTGACCTAGGGTTATTTTCTAGGAGCTGCTCTTCTGTAACATTCTCATTAATTACCAAATTGGTATCTGAAATAGTATTGCCTCTATCAATTCAGAGATTATTTGGTGGAAAAGAAATCTGTTTGCTTCCTCCTCTGAGAATACATCAAAGCGATATCCTATCAATGTTTGTTCTCTGGTTGAACATCGTAGATATAAGCTCTCATAGTAACACAGTTGTGAAGAATGTTCCCCATTCAAACAATATTTGGGATTTATTTTTCTGTCCCTTTGTAGGTGCTGATTTATGTTCTTTTTTCCTTGATTTTGACTTAAATCATTCTCTTATCCATAGTAGCCCCTTTTTTTTGGAAGGAGCATTCTTTGCCTATTATCTTTCTACATGATTTTTCCTTTACCCTGTGTTGGTTGTGTTTTCAATTTGTTGTCATATGGCATCCAGTTGGTTAAAAAACTTTGTGCTAGTTCTCTTTTTCTGGTGTATTCTTATCTTGAGTAAAGATTACCAGTGCGATCAACTCATTATCTGTTCCCAAGAGCTTCTCTTCTGCAATTTGGTTAGGCATATCACTGTATAAACACATTTTTTTCAGGTATCCACAGCATTCTGCAATTTTTCTATTCAGTCATCATTGTTCTCTGTGTTTCTTTTCCTGGTGGTAGATGCTTAGAACAATTAAACTGGGATTATTGGTCATAGCAGTGGATTCTTCCCCAACCCATTCTCTACTCTTGATAGCAGCAATTTATTTATATTACACCTACAATGGAATATATGCATATGAATGTAAGAAATATTTTATTTGCAAGGATTAAAAATTTTTACGTATGAAGCGTGGGTGAGGTCATTTCTGTAGAAGCCTTTACCAAGATCCTAGCTCAGAATCAGTTCTTAATTCAGTGGATGTTGTAGGTATGCAGTTATGGTAAATGTGAGTGTGGTTTTCTCTTTACCAAAGAGATTGATGCTAGGTTACTACTACATGAAGTAGATAAAAGGTTGGTTGTTTATAGCCTCCACTGAAATTTGCAGCAATTCCTCTGTTGTTATCACTTCTGGAATCTAAGGTCTGTGAAGTGATGTGAGGTGCCAAGTGGAGAGGAAGAGGGTTGCATCCAAGTTTAGGCTAGACTTGTGTCTCATAACCACCTCGTGATGCCTAATGGGTGTTTGCATGCTCTAAGTAGCTGTTTCTCAGCGTAATGCTTGGATGTAAGGAAATAATAAAAAATTTCAACAATAATGCTATTAGGAGGGAAGAAAGGTGAGAAAAGGAAGAGCTCAGTTGTTAGTGTATTGAATGCTGATAGTGCTGTTTTAATTGGATTGCTTTAGTATGATTGAAATAACTTCTAAATGCAAAGAGGACTCAAAATTGGTCTGACATCTGGGCCAGGTGTTTCCTCTAAAAAATGCCAGAGAAAAGCAGCTGAGCTCAACAAGAGGGCCTTAAATTGTGAAGATTTAATATATAATGAATCAATTTCTAAGGTGAATTATGCGTGTTATGTCTACTGAATTTTTGTACTTATATCCTGCACTCTAATGTAATGATATGAAAGTTTATTTCTAGATGAAAGGTAAGCAGCAGTGTGTCTGTTAATCGCATTTGTTGTTCTATGTTGTGTGTGTTATGGCAGATGTGGTTGAAAATTACATTTGGCTGCTTTTATTCTCCATGCTTTCTTAATGGTGCATTAGACCACTAGGTGGAGGTGTTACTCTGGTTGTGCGGCTCTCCACTCCCAAGCCATATTTCTTTAAAGGCTATAAAAATGTTAGGTTATACCTATATGTGAAAAGCAACTGATTTTTTTTTTTTTCTTCACTTTTCCTTTCTCTCTTTATCTGCATTTCTAAAGAAAACTATTATTGTTCAGCCTGTGCCTGCACAGTGTCTTCAGCCTGCTTGTGTTAGAAGCAGAGACTTGCCTGATCACACCAACCAAGCCATATTTCTTTAAAGGCTATAAAAATGTTAGGTTATACCTATATGTGAAAAGCAACTGATTTTTTTTTTTTTCTTCACTTTTCCTTTCTCTCTTTATCTGCATTTCTAAAGAAAACTATTATTGTTCAGCCTGTGCCTGCACAGTGTCTTCAGCCTGCTTGTGTTAGAAGCAGAGACTTGCCTGATCACACCAATACTTGTGCATCTGCTTTTTTTTTTCTTTTCCTTTTCTATTTTCATAATGTCTTTGGATATGCTGACCTGTTTTGTCAGTATGAAGGTATTTGCTAGAAGGTAATAAATATTTCAAGGGAATGGCCAATTGCATGCATTCCCACAGAGAGGAGGTTAATGCCTGTGAGACATTAGAATCTAGAAGGTAATAAATATTTCAAGGGAATGGGCAATTGCATGCATTCCCACTGAGAGGAGGTTAATGCCTGTGAGACATTAGAAAATCTGCCATGAGAGAATTCTATTTTGAATATACCAGCAACAAAATACTTAGACCAGAGCTTGCAATTTATTGGAATCTAGTTAGTTATGTTGCCAGATAACTTCACTGAAATCTAATTTTATTGATACATCTACTTATGAAAAGGCTTGGTTTTTAAAAAAAGGTATGGAAAAAAACATTGATAACAAAAAGAATCTGTGCAGGGGTTATGTTAAGTCTGATGCTGAGCAGTGGAGCACGTTTTTCAACTTCTTGTTTGTGGTTGGACTGTTACATATTTAAAAACCTGGAGCACATAAACTGTGTTAGTAGGGGGAAAGGAGAAGCGTTTGCACTAAATTTAGTAATCTGTAGTACAGGTACACTTTTTGTTCAGTTCAGTGGAAACATGTTTAAGAGAAATTATATGTTCTTAAATTCTTACAGAGTTCTAGAATGGTAATGTTTCTGGTTTGTTATATGTGTGTTTTAAATGACAGATTCTGAGGGACTGTGTGACACTGTTGTATTCCTAAATAAAGCACATACCCACTGATGGCAGCTTTGCAATCTGTAGCATTTTGATACCGATATTTTTGGAGGTTGCTAGCTGCAGTCCGTAACTATACCTCAGCCATTTAGCTACTGAAGCCATCCTTTCCACACGTAGGTTCAGATGATTCCCTGGAAGGTCTGGGATTTATCAGATTTTTCTAATGGCAGGCCTCATAAGTCAGATTGAAGGATCTCAAATAGCATATGAGTCAAAGCATCAACAGCTTTAAAATGTCACAAGTGGGACAGCTGGTCTTACTAAGGGAAGGGGTGCTAACTCTGGGACAAGTGGTGTTTGAAAATGAGCAGAAAGGGTCAGATTTAATAAAAAAATAAAGAAATAAAGGGTATTACGAGATAAACTGATGGTTTTGCTGGTTTTGAACATACTAGTATTCAAATTTTGTTAACTTACGAATTGCATTTACAGACCTTATACAATTGAAAATCTGGTAGACATGCCTATTTGTCTTATGTTGCATGAAGGAACAAAAAATAAGCATAGTGTCTAATAAATATTGTTAATGTTTGATTGCATTTATTCTCAATCTGAGTGTTGAATGTATACATTTGAAGAATCAAAATGCAGTCCTGCTTTTAGTTAATTTGTGTCTGCTTATGCTACTTCATACAGTAAAAACCATGTTTCATTGGGTTATGCTATGTTTCTAGTGAAATGTTGTGGTGCCTTGTAATTTATAAGCTATACTAGCTGTTAGAGAGGGTGTGTAGTGCAAGCCCCTTCTTATCCTGTGCATTATGAAATCTGATATACAGACTTACTCGTGGCAAGAGATAAAAACAGCAAACAGATCAAACAGTCAAGTAAGAAATGACCTTAACAGCATATTGGCAACCATCATTAAGGACTTGGAGACCCACATGGATTAGTTCTGGAGCCCTTTGTATCTCGGGTTTCTGAGCTGTAGGTTGCTCTCTAAACCATTCTGAAAATTTCATGCTCCTGACAGCAATGATGAATTGGTGGCCTTAATTTTCTGAGAAGTGTATTACTTGATTAAGACTGAAAAAAAGTATGATTCTTTCAGTCATATAATAAAATTGTAATAAAATACAAATTCTGTTATTGAGGGTTAGAGGGAATGGCTGGGGACTTACTATTCACAACAGAAATATTTAAACATGGACAGCTTTACTGTTGATGGATCATTGTGTAAAGAAAAGTTTTCTTTACACAATGAAATGTGAAAATTAAACATCTAGGAATGTTCTATATCTTTAAATGTTTTTAATTTTCCATTTGAATTACCCCTTTTTGTGTTCTTACAAAATCGTAATTCTTTAAAAACAGTGTTTACTGGTGGTTCTTATTAGTAACTCTAGTAAGAAAAATAGAACAAAAAGATGGAATTGGCAAAGACTGCAAAGAGGCAAACAGAGTGCTGCTGTGGTGCATGCCAGAAATTATTTTCTCTGCTTGTATAGTTGCAGCTCTACTCAGAAGCCAGCGTGGCTCTCTTGCAACTGAATAACCGTAAGGGTTTCCAAGAACTGAGCAAGCAAGCAAAGAAGAACATGACTATAGATGGAAAAGAACTAATGCTTAGTCCTGCTTATTTACTATGGGACCTCAGCTCTGTCAGCCAGGTAGGTAAATTCTGTTACAGCATGTAAAGGTGGTGTTATTTAAAAACTGCAAGTAGGGACTAACTAGTCAATGACAAGGGATGTGGGATTTCTTCCAGAAGCTTGGAAGCGTTAAGAATCCGGTATTTATTATGTTGTAAGAAAACATTACAAGAACACTCTCAAATTCTGAAATCAAGGAAGAAGGAGGATTGAACAGGGTGATGTTTAATTGAAATTTTCATGTTCTCCCCTAAGTGAAAAATTTTGCCCTCTGCTCTGATAAGGTTGTATGCAGTCAAGTCCTGAAAGGCTTAACTGATACTGACTGGCAGATAAGCAATCTTCGGGGGGAGGGGAGGCTTTAATAAAAACATGGTATCTCCTTCCTGATATGTTTCTAAAGCACTTTATTTTTTTGCTTTGCAGCATTGTATGTGCTGAGTAAATGCTAAGTACTTCTCTTACCAAAATTTTGAAGACCTGAAATACAGATGTTTGCAATGAAAGGTTTACTTTGCTTACTTTTGATACCAGCAAGGATTTTTGGTTTAGCAACAGGAAATAAAATAACAAGGTGTCTGTTTGAAGATAAGATCTTGTAAAATCTTTTTTTTTTTTTTCTTCCTGCTAGAATATTACATTTATTGTAAATGTCAAGTGGCATGAGTAAACTAAATGTGCCTGCTCCACTAAAGCCTTCAGTCTGTCTTTGTATACTGTGAACCTGGCTTTTGTAGAACTTTCCTTGTTAATACAAACCCTGAACTCAAACTTTATACTTCTCCATGTTGAAATCATGTATCATTTTGTAAATGGGTACTTAGCCAATGGATGCTGGTGTTGCTGAAATGTTTTTAGTTGTTATGTTTCTTAGAACGTGTAAGCTGTATTACTATACGTATTAGAAAAGGAGGAGACTTACTTACAGTGTATAGAATCTGCAGTGAAAATGGTAATTGTTAAATGTTCAAATTATTCTTGAGTTTTCTGTTTCAATTGGGCATCTTTTAGAAGTGTTCCTTTTAGGCAGCCTTAATTGTTGTTTTTAGAAGAGACCATTAAGTTCTCACACATGGGAGAAGAAACATACAATAGTGTCATGTAACCCAATTTTGTTACTTACCTGATGAGTTTCTAATTAAAATATTTTCTTTTTAACAAAAACACATGGAAACATTTAGCTATTTCATAGTGACTATTAGGCTTATTTTGTTAATTTTCTCCTGCTTAAAGTCTTTAAAATAAAAGAGTGGGGGATGATTGAAGAGCTGCTACATCTTGACACTTTCACAGTATCTATATTAGGTGCCATTTATATACAGCTTATGATGCTATGTTCTTGGAAGGCTCCAGCCTCTTAAAACTGGATTTCTGGAAGGTGATGTTACCAATTTGAAATGCAACTTGGCTTTTGGTTAAGGTCAGGAAATAGAGACTAATAATCTCAGAAAAGAAAGAAAACAGGAGGGTGTGGGTTTTTTCCTGGGATTCTTTCTTCAAGAGCTGGGATCTTGCAGTGTAGTCAGCAGACATCCTAATGACACCAGGTGGCCGGCCATTGGTGTCAGAAGGTTGCATTGTTCACCTTGATAATTTGGAAGAATATGATCCTCTAAGAGAATAATGGCACTTGATCAGTGTACTTTGTATTTTTGAATGTCTTAAGTTCTCAAATGTTTATGCCCCCATATGTCAAAGCAACCTGTTGTTACCTAGCTGGATCAGACCTTGAATGTTCTATTTAAAAGTCTAAGAAAGGACTTTTTGTAGTCTAAGCAGGATGAAGATATTTCTGCCAGCCGTTTTGAAGATAATGAAGAACTGAGATACTCCTTACGATCAATAGAGAGGCATGCCCCTTGGGTGAGACGTATTTTCATCGTCACTAATGGGCAGATTCCTTCCTGGCTTAACCTGGATAATCCACGAATAACCATAGTGACACATCAGGTAAAACCCAAATAAACAAAAGCCAAACAAAAAAGCCCACCAAAACCCTCAACAAAAATACCATCATAAAAGTGCCACGAGTAAAGATTCCGTGACTGTTTTGGAATACAGTTACCCTCTTTCAGTCAAAGGCTGCATTTATTTGGAAGAAATGACCATTTCTTCCCCATTTCATTCGTATTCTTTGTAAACCCCAGTATGTCTTTTTATTTTGGATAAGCAGATAACTGAATATATATCAAGCCTTTGTTTAGTCCACTTTTCCAAATACAGAGACTTCAGCTAATGTATACCCATGTCTAATTTCCTTATAAAGTTTATTTATAAAAACACTCAAGAAAACGTAATCTGAATCCATAAACATTCTCTCAATACCAGTAATAACCTAGTAAGCTTGCATTGAGACAGGATGAATTGCAGTTACCGGAACTAAGATGATGGCTTCCAAAAAATAACTATGGATCCTAAAAATCTTACTTAAAAAGTGAAAGGGAATTCTTCATGCTTCCTGAATAAGTGAAACAAAAATAATAGCTTCTGATTACAATTTTGGAGTAATTTTGGTATCTAGACATGCCATAGGACCCCTGAGCAACCTAAGTAACAAGATTCTGATTCAACTTCTGTTGCTGTCTGCTTCTGAAGTTACTTAAAAGAGATGAAAGAATCCTGACATTCTGAATGCTGGAACACATTCAACTTGCTCAAAATTTTGTGCAGCCTGTACCATATGAGAAGTATAAATATGTGTACACTGGGCTGATCCATTACTCAGTGAAAGAGGAGTTTGTGTTTTTGCACTGAACCAGGTGCTGTTTCTTAGTTAAGCAGCAGATCTGAAAATGGTTTTGTGTGGGGAAAATGAATAGCAAAATTTTTCTTTCTGCTAAAATATTTTCACTTTTCTTTCTGTCTTTCATGTATTTTCTTATTCTAAGAAATTTTTATTTTATTTTTTTTTTTTAGTAGATAAGTGTCAAATATACCTGATATGCCTGGCCTTTTATGGTTTGGGCTTTTTCATGTATTTTTGCCTTCTGAAACTGTTTTGGGTTGTTGGGGCTTCTTTGTTTTAGGAAATATTTCAGAATGTGAGTCACTTGCCTACCTTCAGTTCACCAGCTATTGAAAGTCACATTCATCGTATCAGTGGCCTCTCTCAAAAGTTTATTTATCTCAATGATGATGTTATGTTTGGGAAAGATGTTTGGCCTGATGATTTTTACAGTCACTCTAAAGGTCAGAAGGTAAGCCATTATCAAAGAATTTTTTTTCCCCAAAGCAGATGTACAATTTTTCTATGGTAATGTAATATAATACAAATAAAGCAAATCAAAGAAATGGTACTTTGAAAGGGAGATCAAATATAAGATTTCCCTTTGCTCCCCACTCCCCTTTTTACCTCTAAAGTTTCATTGTTCTTAACTAGACAATTGTTAGCAAAGATGTAGGGTGGGGAGAGCTCTGTCTCTTTTTGTATGTATGTGTTGATGTGTGGGTTGCAGAATCACTTTTTTTCATATTCACTCACAGGTTTCTGGCATTATAATGGTTCCTCTGTCAGGCTTCATGCTTTAGTTTCAGTGGTGTTCTCTAATTCTCCCACTTTCTGTTGGCGCACTGATGTGGTGTTTGGCAGCTGTCAGTCTTCCCTCCCTTGTAAATTCTTTTTGTTTTGTGGGAAATATTCAAAGCAAAACAGAATCCATTCTTCTGTGGGAACACTGAGGTCAGATGGCACTCAAAATGGTCTAGTATTTAAATTTACCATTAATTGCCTCTGTTCCATACACCCAAATATCTTTGCCCAATCTAAATATAATAATATATATAGTTATTTACTAAAAGATATGCTGTTGCATGTTCATGAACATCAAGTAATCTATTTTTTCAACAGACATATTATCAAAAACTGGGGTTCAGCTGAGGAAAAATTAACAATAGTTATGCATAAAGACTCTCTGGTTGCCAGCAGAATTTTCATTCATGAACTTGATCTACAAGAGTGACATGGAGGAAAAAATAAGATTTATATTTGTTATTTATATTGAAACAATAAGTACACAAGATGCGAGAGACCATGGAATTAATTCATGCAGGCACATGTGGACACTTGTGCACACACACAGAAAGGTTGTACAAAATTAGTTTAATCTACCCTAAAATTAGTGCTTCAGTACTTGAGGACATTAGGAGGCTTTTAATTATTTTAAATCCTTCCGTATGCATATAATTGCACAATCATATATTGTTACTGTATTTTTATTATTCAGTTATTCCTCTGAGTTATGATGATAAAGTCAGCTTAGATGCAGTGTTATTTGTGATAACCTGATCAGCAGTTGTTTCTGTAGGAAACATGCTGCTAAAATCTTGAAACAGTAAGGCCTGAAGGGAAGGGTGTGTGGTTTTTAATGCCTCCCCAGTTGAAAATACACCCCCATACTTTTTTTTATCTTGTTAATTCTTAGAATTATTTAAGTCATAGAGGGTCAGATGCTTTAGGGATTATGTTCAACATGTGCTGCTTATCTCATGACTGGTTAGTAATAAAGAAACATTTTGAGTCAGAAGAACAAGTGAACTGCAAAGCTGTTTCGGAGTTTCAGTTCACCCTTCTTAACTGACAAAAGATAAAATACTATTTTCATTGTAATATGGTTTATGGAAGTAGATTTGGGAAGTCCTACATTCTATTTCTGGCTGTTGTTGCCTTGCTGTATGGCCTTGGGAATTCTTCAGTTTTTCCTGAGATAACATTTATTTCACAGGTGAAAGTGTTTAAATGCTATTTGTAAAACTTTGTGAATACTTAAGGCACTTTTCATGGGCAGGGATTATTTTAAGTCTCTGTATTCCAAGGAACAAGCTCAGTTGACTTCTATTTGCCAATCCGTGTTTTGGACTATAATGTTGTTCCAGGTTTACTTGACTTGGCCTGTGCCAAACTGTGCTGAGGGATGTCCTGGCTCGTGGATTAAAGATGGTTACTGTGATAAAGCCTGTAATAACTCAGCATGTGATTGGGATGGAGGTGATTGCATTGGTAAGAAAGCAATGTTAAATTTAGAAAAAGTGAACTGTTTGGATTTTTTTACATAAATAATTCTGCAGTTTGTTGTTCTCCTTTAACTACAAAATTGCTTCCTTTAATAATAATAATAATAAAGTTGGCTTACAGATGAAAACCTTGTTTCTTGCAAACTACAAAGTGTCTATGGAAAATGACAGCAAATAGTAAGGCATATAAAATCTTTCCCTGGGTACCAAGTTTGACTACCTGAATGAAAAGATTTTTAAATTAATAAAATTATTATGTAAAATATATATTCAATATTATATAGTATTTGGACTCAGAATCCAAATAACAACAGGACTGTGAAGCTGCACCATTAGTTTCTAGATTAAATTTTCAGGACTGCAGGGCAGGAAAACGAAGTGGTACTTCTGGACTGAGGAAATGATACCACTGTAGGGGGCTCTAAAGTCAAGACTGCAAACACAAGAAGTAGTAAATCAGTTTTCTGCTGCCTCTTTGAAGTTAAGACAAAATATGTTGAAGTTTTTCTTGCAATTTTAACTTGGTTTCTAAACTTCTACAGCGAGATGGTGCCTCTATCGATTTTACACTAACTCACTGAGGTCTAGTTAGCGTTTGCTCCATTTTAATTTCGCTGGTGATAAATAAGATTGTTGACTTCAGTCTAGCTTTAACACTGTGGCTTAAAATGTGCTTTTCTTCAGAAATAAAGATTTCAAATTGACTGGGTTTGGTTTTATTTTCTTCTCTCCCTGTAGGTAACAGTGGGGGTAGTCGCTATGTAGCTGGTGCAGGTGCAGTTGGAGGTATTGGGAATGGACCACCATGGCAGTTTGGTGCAGGAATAAGTGGCGTTTCATACTGTAACCAAGGCTGTGCTAATTCCTGGCTAGCAGACAAGTTCTGTGATCAGGCCTGCAATGTCCTCTCCTGTGGATTTGATGCTGGTGACTGCGGCCAGGGTAGGTAATATACATCTCTGATGAACTTGCTGTAGAGATTCTCTTGAATTGTCTGACCTTTCTTGTTCATCATTACTCTTGGATTGGGCTAAGATATCTCATACAGCACCATGGAAAAAAGCTGCTAGCAGCTGAAAAGCCAGATGCTTCTTATATTCACTAATCCCAAACTGAATCAATATTATATACTGCTTTATTTAATAAAACAGCTATTGACCAAGCATAGGTAGGGTGCTTGATACTTTACGGAGCAGCAAGCATCAAACTCCTTGCTTCAAGAAACTTACATTTTAAAAAGAGAAATTACATTTCAGCTGTGCAAACAGTCTTTACTTGAGTAAGGACAGCTGACTGTAGTGGTTAAGAAATTTAAAGAACCTCTTTGGTGCTGACAGTGTGACTTCAGGCCTGACTCTAGGCTCTTGCCATAGGCTACTTTCAGTCATGTGTGAAGTTGTCTGAAGTTTATTTTGTTGTAAAAGACTAGTAGGAGTGAATGAAGTGATTGAGAGTGCTGTCTGGTATAGGCAGGGGAACAGAAATGGAAGAACTTGGCCTTTTTGGAAGAGTAGAGGCTCCCCTACATCTCAGCTCAGACAAGTGAGTTATTGGCAGTTCTGTTGCTGGCAGTGAGGTTTTGTTCATGTGAGAGTTGACTGATAATCTGTCTTGAGCTGTGGGAGGGAGAAGTTCGATTCAGTCTATCTGATTTTGGAAGCCTCAGAGATGCAGTGTAGCAGTGAAATCCAACCATTGTAACATTCATCTACTAAAATGTAGCAAAAATGTAGTATGGGCATGTTACTTATGACTGATACACAAATTTAAGTGATGTGTGATAATGAGCCACTTAAGGTCTTCATGTGGGGACTGAAAGAGTGATAAATTATACTGGCTTTTAGAATTATCACTGGAATGTCTGACAGCTTTATATATCTGAGTATGTTCCAGTCAGTCATTATTAAAGATAGGTGAGCAAGAAACTGGAGACTACAGTAAGTGTTCTTTCACAGAGCTGTCTCCCTGCTAATGTAGTGAATCTAGCTGGGCATATTACATTTCAAAAAAGACTGCAAGCTAAGTGTCACACTGCAAACTGACAGAAATCTGTTTCTTGGATTTTTCCCAGATCACTTTGAAGAGATGTACAAGGTGACACTTCAGCTTAATCAGACCTACTATGTTATTCCCAAAGGTGAATGTCTGCCCTACTTCAGCTTCAGTGAAATAGCCAAGAGAGGAATTGAGGGTTCGTATAGTGATAATCCAATTATCCGACATGCTTCAGTTGCTAACAAATGGAAGACTATCCACCTCATAATGCATAGTGGTATGAATACAACCGTGGTCTATTTTAACCTTACATTTCTAAATAAAAACGATGAAGAATTTAAAATGCAGGTAGCTGTTGAAGCTGATACTAGAGAGGAACCAAAACCAAACACAACTTCCACGCAAAAATTGAACTCTGATTTTAAAACTGTAACTTCAATACCAGAAGCCGAAATGATATTTGAAGATATTCCTGAAGAAAAACGCTTTCCAAGAGTCAGGAGACGTCGAAATGGCACAAAAGAGAGTCTACATGAAGAGGTGATAATACCATCAGTAAACATGTCTCTCCTTCCTGAAGATGTTCTACTAGCACTGCAGAAGCTGGATGCAAAACTATTAAATGGTGATATCACTCAGAAAGGATTTAACCTATCCAAGGCTGCTCTCCTGAGACCTTTCCAGTTCTTAACTACATTAAAGAGTATCATAGACCTGGAAAAGAAGGTAGTGCATAACGGTTCAGAAGACCAGAAGAACCATACCAGATCGCAGAAGCCTTATAAAGATGTAAACAATGGTAAAATAAAAACAATAAAAGCAAATGAAGAAGTTCCTTCAAGGCTTGCAGGAACAAAAGGAACTGTTATAACAGTGAACACAAACCAACCTATATATAAAGTAAAGCCTAAATCCGCACTTCTCTCCCAGGCTGTGGGAAATAAAAGTGAAACCCGAGAAAAAGTATTGAATGCACTCATATTAAGGGAAACCCAGAAATCAAAGCATACTGTGAATTTAGATACTAGAGAAGATGCACAAGGAATGGAAGGAGGAAAAGGGCATGTGCAGGTAGATACAGGTGTAAAAGAGGGACCAGTGGGAAGAAAATTACAGTCTTATGCTGGAAGTTACCAAGGCTTTTTGCCATGGGAGAAAAAGAAGTATTTCCAGGACCTTCTAGATGTGAGTATCTTAATGTTATTGTTTATTGGAATACTTGCTTCTTTCTGCATTTAGTGGAATACTTCTAGTATAATCTATTCATTTGGAATGTATCTTGCCTTTGAGGCAATTATGAGGGGATTTTTTTTCAAAGCTCCTTGTGACTTTCCACATAAAATCTAATTTGTTTATGATGTAGGCCTCTCTTTGCTGGGTGAATAGCTTTCTGTTCCCTTTCTACTACCTTTTTTTTTTTTTTTTTGGTCATATTCACTTTTTATTCATTATATGTTGGCACAGTGCTATTGTTCAGATGTATATAGCACTACAACTGAAAGCTTAAATGTTGTTTTGATTGCATTTATGCAAATATTGATGCAGTTTATTTAAAAAAAAATTAAAAAAATATGTATAATGTTAAATACTTGGGTTCTAAAAGTTAAATTGAAAGTCTGCCAACAAAACTGAATATCCAGGCCATGTCAAGAAAACATGTAGGAAGTTTCCTCTGCTTCCAGCCAAAGCATTTAGGCAGTTTTGAAAACCTCTAGAAGAGAAGATAGATATTGTGCTTCAGTTGGTAACAACTGCTTTGCACTAAGCCAAATAGCAAAAGGACAGTGTTTTTAAGAATAACTTTTTCTGTTCATCTGAGATTGGGTTTTGCATGAGGAATCTTCATATTTATGGGATTTTAGTTCATAAAATGTGGATGAATAATCAAAAAAGGCAATATTACAAATAAATCTGATGGCAAACAGGGGCTTTAGTGTGAGGTGTCAGGGTGTCAGAGCACTAATATTGAGAAATTTTATTTATACACTAATTTGCCTGAAAGCATGAAAATTTAAAGGCAAAGTTTACCTTTTTTTTAATTAATTTTTTTTTTTAAGAGAGGACTAAGGAATATGAAGAAAAATATTTACATCTTAGGAAGAGTTAGCACCTGGCTGAAATGTCATTTTTTCCATCTGTTTAATGTTTTTGTTCTTTTAGGTAATATAACTGACTTATACTTGTCCTGCTGTTTAGGAAGAAGAGTCATTACTCAAGCAAATGTCATACTTTACTGATGGTAAATATTTTGGAAGGCAGTTGAAAGATACATTTGCTGATTCGCTTCGATATGTAAATAAGCTTTTAAACAGCAAATTTGGATTTACATCTCGAAAAGTCCCTGCTCACATGCCTCACATGATTGACCGGACTGTTATGCAAGAGCTACAGGATATGTGAGTATGTCTGTGTTTGTAATAATGTAAAACTGTTGGTAATTCTACCTTTCAGTTGATGCTTTGCTATAGTTATTCCCAATGTGTTGATGGCTACTCATTAAAATCGTATTTCGTAAAAGGAAATAGGGAATTTATTACAACATGATAGTTGTGCTAACAAAAAGAGACTTTTGAGGATCTTTTAAAATTCTGATTGAGAATGTTTTTTTAGGTAAGGAATGTTTTACTTTAAGAAACTGGAGTACTTAAATTATTTTATATTCCTACCTAGGTTTCCTGAGGAGTTTGACAAGACATCGTTTCACAAAGTGCGGCACTCAGAAGATATGCAGTTTGCTTTTTCATATTTCTACTATCTTATGAGTGCAGTCCAGCCACTGAACGTTTCTCAGATCTTTGATGAGGTTGATACAGACCAGTCGGGCATTTTGTCTGACCGAGAGATTCGCACGTTGGCCACTAGAATCCATGAATTACCATTGAGTTTGCAGGTACTCTTTCCTTACCAGTTTAGAGTAACTTCAGTTTTACAGTCCAAATCTGTTAAGATGAGCTAAATCTTTATTACCCTTGTAATATTTGGCAATGCTTAAACTTTAGCTGGAGAATGTAAGTGTTCTACCTTATTGTTCTATGGAGTCAACAATTAAATTGTGTTCTAGCAGCATCGGGAAAATAGATCACTGGTGTCCAAGTTCAAGAAAGCAGTTAGCATGAGTTTGTCAGGAAAGCTGTTCACTGCTAAAAGCCACTATGAAGAGTGGGATCCTGCTATGCTTACTCTTGCTTTTGCATAGTAAACCAGTTCTTGCCCTGAGGAACTTGTGGCCTAAAGAAAGAATTGGGAAAAAGGGTAGCAAAGAACTCATACTAGTAAATACTATGACCGTATACAAAGACTCACACTTCTGATTCTCTAGGAACCTGATAAATGGTCTTTGTAGGACTTACACTCTTGGAGACAGTTGGTAGAGAATGCTTTACAGAGAGGAATTGGAACGAAACAATTAAATTATTCTTGAAACACCACAAAAAGTCATTGGTATAGCTGCAAGACAGCCCTGCTTTAGTGTGTTCCTGGCCTTGATCAGATCTTCCTGTCCTTTCAATTCACTTTTCTATTTGTTTGCGCAATTTAGGATTTAATATGCCACTGCTGGTTTGGGCATTTTTTACAGCCCTGACATCATCAGTAAAGGGGTGTTTCTCGTTTAAAAATGTAAATGACATTAAGTCACGCTTTATCTGGTCTCAGTTCAACTATGCATTTCCTTTCCTTTAGATGTAGGGGGGGAGTCCAACGCACTTCAGCAGTTACTGAATTGGGGGCTATTGAACATTGTCTTCTGTCAGTAGCACGAAAATTTGTTTTGTAGATAACATATGTCTGTGCACTCTAAATTTTTAGAACTATGTCAGTGAGAAAACAGGATTATCTTTTTTTTAACTCCCCTTCTCTTTCTGTTAGGATTTGACTGGTCTAGAACAAATGCTAATAAATTGTTCTAAAGCTCTGCCTGCCAACATCACTCAGATACATGTTATTCCACCAACTCAGGAAGCATATTATGATCCCAATCTGGTAAGAAACATTGGTCTTAAAAGATGCTTGGTTTCTTTGCTGAGTATATATTGATTGTGCTGATTTGGTTTTGTGTTTGCAAAAATTTCTACTTGTGTGTAGATGATGTGTTATAAAATAAAAAATTTTACAAGCCACTTCCTAATTTAGAAAGACATTAATTTCCTTCAGAAACAGAGAAAAGATGAGCTTTAGAATGTTCTTGTATATGGGATTCAAAAAGTCATTCTTGTTAGGAAAATGTACTGTTGCGGACGAAAAAGAAAGTAAGGTCTCTGACTAGCACTTTCTGCTAAGTCTTTGTCTGAATTATAGCCCGTGTATTTAAAAACAAAACAAAATCCAAAAAGCCACTAAACCATCAGATGGACAGACTCTTCTCACTGGTGCCCAGTGACAGGACCAGAGGCAACGAGCACAAATTGAAATCAGAAGGTTCCTTCTGAACATCAGCAAACCTCTTTCTTGTGAGGGTAACCAAGCACTTGTGCAGGTTGCCCATTTGTGGAATATCCTTGGAGATAGTCACAAGCTGCCTGGGCATAGGCCTGAGGCGCTGGCACCAGGTGGCCCTGCATGAGCAGGGTGGTTGGACCAGATGAGCTCAAGAGGTGCCTTTCAATCTAAACCATTCTGTGAAAAGTGAGGTATTAAGACCAGATGTTCCTCAAGGATATAAGTCCTTATTTTCATTTAGTGGTTAAATTCTCATTAAATCCTGCTGGAATTTAGGAATCTTCAAATCTTATGCAAATACCTAAATTTCTTTTACAATGAAAATTTAATTCCTGCATCAACCTATGCATTTGAAAAAAATGTGTGCATGTACTTTGCTAAATTGATGACCTGGTGTTTTCTAGCTTCAAACCAATACTGTATCAAAGCAAAAATCATTTTGGTGAGCACAAGTCATGGACTTCTGGGTAGTAAAGAGCATTACTGATCCCAAACACATACAAATCATAATACAGAGATCTACAATGTGTGTGTAGATAAATGTGTGGGCATTGACTATGTTTTCTTCTTTGTTTCTTCTCTCTGGAGATCAGTCCTGCCTTGTATTCTTACCAGGTTATGTTACAAGGTTTTAAAAAGATTTTCCCTTACATCTGAATTCCAGCAAAGTTCTACATAAAGCCATTCTGTCAGCCTGATTTGAAGAAATAGAAGTGTGGATTTGAGAATCCTGCACAGTCTGAGGACATTACATCCAATATAGCCTGCCTTCATTTTGCTTTTTTATACCTCTCAATTCAGTCTGCAAAATTCTGTGAAGTAAAAGCTTTGAAAAGCAGTAGTAAAGGATGGCTGCCATGAATATGTTTTTTTGGGTTAAAAATAAGTCTCGGTGGTTGGGAACAATGTCAAATTAATCTTTTTGGAGAGTTATTAAAATATTACTAATCTAAGCAGTAATGCCTAATGTACTAATGATATTAGTCAGGTCAGATAGTGACAAAATAGCATCTGTGTTTAGCACAGGGGCCTAATTTATTTTTGCTTCTCTTGTCTGCAACAGCTAAACTTCTTGGAATGAATCTACTGTGATAGAAATATCCCTCAAGAATAGGGATTTTGTCTCCCAGAATTGTTTTAACATAGCCTGTGATAGAAATAAGGCCTTGTCTTTATCAGCTGTTCTGCGGAGTTTGCCTGGCCAGTATTACTGGTGGCCTCTGCCAGAGGAATGTCAAAGACAGCTGTCAAACGAGCTAGAATTTCTGAATACTTTTTGACAATGAAAACTAGAAGTTGCAATGTTTTTTGCCAAAAACAATCTGTATTTTTCATATAATATTTGTATGCATAGGAAATTGTGATGCTATGTACCTGTGTCTTTTTGGTTTGGTTTGGTTTGGTTTTCCCCTCAGCAGTTGACCAAGAAATTATTGCTTTTAATTCCAGGAGAGTAAAGTATACGCAGGCCTTTCTAGCTTAATAGAAATTTTCTACAAAGTACATTTTTATAACAGACTCTATAATTTTCAATAACCTATAATCTAAACAATGTTTTTTCTCCAGCCTCCAGTAACAAAAAACCTAGTGACCAATTGCAAACCTGTGACTGACAGGATTCGTAAGGCATACAAGGACAAAAACAAATACAGGTATGTTGTTGCAGTATGTTGTTCCAGTCCTTGATTCTGTAAAGCACTAAGAAGAGGTATAAATATGTACATGATCAAACATCATATGTGTATGTTAACAAATCTTAGCTCCATTTATTTTAACAGTAGAACTGAAGAAACATACTGGTATCTACTTATGTTTCATTTTGCAGAATGATGTGATTTTTTTTTTTCATTATTTCTTATGTAGTTGAATAAATATTTCCATGCTGCTTCTGTCATCGGGCCAGATCCTAATTTGTACTGTACCATAGTAAACTGGAGTATCTTTAGATGACTATATAAATTGACTATATGTAGTGAGCGAGGGCAGTTTAAGTAGCATAAACAGGAGGAAAGAGTCTGTCCTGTACCTAGAAGTTGTAAATCTGCTTCATCCTTCTTTCTGCTGAAACTTAAAAAGAGAAAAGAACAGAAAAAGCATTTTAGCCTGAACTACCCTTTGTTTTTCCTGCAAGGAGGAGTGACATGGAGGGAGGGGGACAAGAAAAGGGTTTCCATCCCCTTTTGGAAAGGGCAGGACAAACCATGATCATGACCATGGGTTTGTTTGAATAATTGTAGCTACATACATCAGCCTAAGATCAGGTTGTCTCATATCTTGCTTTTCTGAGACCTGTGAACCAATTCCATGCCACTGAGGCTCTTTGCTGTTGTGGAGCTTATAGCCTTGTCTCCTATCTGTCACCTTACCAGCAACAGTGAAGAGTCTCTGAAGCATGCAGTTGCCCCAGGAATGGCTACAAAGCCAGTTAAAACTCTAGAATGAAAGAAGGGTACAGATGCTGCTTAGGGTAGCTTTTGGACATTATAATACATTAATTCATAGCACTTCAAGTTGTGCTGTAAGCTTTATAAGTAATTCCCTTTCCAGGAGAGTTTGTTAAAACTGAAAAGCTGACAAAACGAATGAGATTGAAAAATGTTAGAGTGGGGGCAAGACTTAAACTGATTTATAGTAATGTATTTATATCATTAAGATGCATGTTTCTCTTTTGTTCTGTTGGACTCTAATACTAAATTATTAATTTTGTGAGCTTTATAAATGGAGTAGGTTCTAAGGTAAGACTTCAAGGAGCAAGCGGGGTATTTTCTTGTATCAAGTTAAGAAGGGTGAACAATGTGGTACCTGTAGTGAGACTGCTAACTAGGAGTAAAATGCTCCTTCAAACTCAAGATATCCTTCAGACATGATATAATACTTCTGCATTTCATATACTTGTTTTATTTGCTGTTGATTAGGTGGGTGAGAGGTTTTCTTTGTATTTAATGTTGTAGTTCTATATATTCTTCTGTAATTTTAAGATTTTTCTAGGGTTGGTAGTTGGAAAAGAATGACAATTGTAAATTGTGTTTAAAAACACAAACCAAAAAAGTAAATAGTATAGTGTTATGTCTGCTCTCAGATCAATTGTTATGTTTATGCCAAAATTCATAGTTAGTATACTTTGTGTTAGAATTAAGCTCTTTGAGTTATGTGTGGCTATTAATAAATCTGTAGGAAAGTGTCTCTGTGCAAGCGCATTAGCTGAAGAATGTAAATAAGATGATAGAAAGCAAATCGCAAATTCTGATGAAGGTTGTCCAGTCAGATTAGAAATACGTTATTAAAAAGAAGATTAATATCTATTGAACCTGACTTTATGTTGCTTTATTAATGTATAAATATTATTTTAACAATAAGGTTTGAAATCATGGGAGAAGAGGAAATTGCCTTCAAAATGATTCGCACAAATGTGTCTCATGTAGTTGGCCAGCTGGATGACATACGAAAAAATCCCAGGTATCCTGTTTCTTGATTTGTATGAAGTTTTGGGGTGGTTTTAATTTCCTGCTTCAATTATTTAAACTGTTTGTGTGTTGAAAGTAATAATTCATTGCTGTATTTCTGTATTTCTACACTCTGTGTTACAGGGTAAGACCAATTTTAACCAAAAGTACTTGTGATGTTTTCTGTTTAACTGAAGCTAGGTGACTGCTTTCTCTATGGTAGGGCTTATCTCATTAATTTTTGTTACATTTTTATATCTAAACCATTTGAAAACTTATAGGTAGACTTCAGCTATTCTTGAGGCTTTAGTTTTTGCCATTCTAGAGGACATACAGTTTATATTGCAGGCAATTTTATGTTAAAGAGCATTTTGACTTGCTTTATGTAGCAATTTTAAAATAAAACTTAGGTGTGGATTATTTTGTTCCAAATTTTTTATTATTTATCATGTTTTCATGCCTGTTACAGCATGGCAAGATGTCGTTTTTGTGGGTTCCCCCCCCCCCCCCCCGTAATACAATATACCCAAATCTGAGAGTAGGCATTGAAGTGTTGAAATTAGGCTTCTGAAATGACTATGAGATAAATGGGGAAAACAAATGTCATGGAATACATTTCACAGCAATCACCTTGCAAAGCAAATGATACTGTATTTGAGACTTCAGTCTGAACCTGCGGAAGCACTTTAACTGTAGTGCTGAGCTCATTGCGTAAGACTAGAGTTCAATGAGACTTGGTGAGATAATAGCTAGCTGTCTTGGACTAGTGAGACAGCGCTTCCACTGGTCTCTTTTCCTCCCTTGCTCTTGGCTGCACACTTCTACCTTGCATCTTGCTTCTGTCTTTAGAAAACTAGAGAGTTGTCTGCCAGTTTAGTGAGTCTGGCTTCAAGGAGGAGTCTGACAAGTGTCAAAAACCAGAGCAAGCAGGAAAGTACATAAAGAGCAGGTTTTCACTTGCCTTTTATGCCGTGCTGCTTGCTAGGTCATTCATTCAGAAAGGGGAATGCAAGTTTTGAGACATTTTGCAGATGAAGGTTTGTATCTCTTGCTCCTCCTTACTAGAGTGCCTTCTGGCCACATAACCCCTGCATTCTGGTTCCCACAAAGACATGGCTCAAAAGAAAAGAGGGCAGTGCCCCAACTCATCCTGCTGCTTCCTCTTCCTTTTGTCTTTGTATCTGTTTGGGTTTTTTGTTTGTTTTAGATGTGTGATTTCAAGCAAAGGAGGGTGTGTAACAAGAGTTTCTCACCTTCGGTGTTCAAGTTCATGCTTGCAATCACTGGCTTCTTATTTTGAAGAGTGGTTGCTGATGTCAGGCTTATCCTGATGCTGTGCTGGTTGTGGTATGAGTATGCCTAATGGATTGAGGCCTGCTAGTGACTTAAAATGGAGCTGCCTGCTCTGTGGAGTGATTACATCCTTAAATGAGGATGTGTTTGCGTATGGGTGACTTATTTGGGAACTTAGGCAGGCAAGATGAGGCAGGTGAGCTGGTCTGTCTTGAATCTTCCCTGACTTTCATATGATGCTCTGGCATGCCATAATGGACTCAGCTTGAGACTCCGTATGTGCATACCCTTACGGTTTTGTTTTGTTGTTTTGGTTTTTTTTCTCTTAAGGAACACAATGTATTGTAGACACAGGCTTTTGGCTGGTTTGGGAAGTGAGGTTGCATCAATTGCTTGGGCTGTATTCCTGCCAACTATAATGCAGTACTGTAGCCATATCTTGTTAGCAAAGCAGAGCTGGCATGCCAATGTAGGCATGCCATTTCCTTCTCTTTGCCACGTTTTCCCTGCATATAAAACAATAATTATACACAGTCTCTAAAAACAGGTATTCAGTATCTCTCTTGGGATGAACTACAAGTATTGTTCATTTACTGATGTTTGGTTTACGTCCTTATAGAAAAGTGAGCTTTAATTGTCTAGGCAGTAATTCTGGAATATCCAAAGGAATGTCAGGTTTGATTTCTGTTGGATGGGTTAAAACAGTCTTTCCATTTAAAACAGATTAAGATCCTCATCACTCACTGTGCTTTGGTTTGCTATGTGTAGCAGCCTCTCAGTCTATAAAGTGCATGTTTCAGATGAAACTAAACAGAGTTGTATGTTCCAGGAGAGCAGCTAGTACATTCCAAAGGCTAATGAGCTGCTAGTCCACGGGACAAGGTCAGGCATAGTCTAGAGTAAACTCCCAAAATGCTTATAGTGTAGACATGATTGCCATAACCAGCTGCTTTGCAGTATTACTTGATAGGGTAGACATAGCCTGCTCATCTTTGAAGAGGAGAGGCTTATTCTGTTCTTTTTAGATGTAGCAATTTGAATGACTGTTTATAATCTGTGCGTAGTTGTCTAGAGCAAGGTTACCAGTTATGCCAAGTTTGGTACAGGCTGAGGAAAAGTGGTAATGCCCTGTGTAGGCCAATTCCTGGGCTCTGGAATTCTGGTTATTTCCAGTTTCATGTAGGAAGTCTGAACTTTGCTCTTTGAAAGAGCACACCATACTATAGAGAATACAGCTGACCAGAACAACTTATTTACAAAGGTTAGTGATTACAAGGCATATGTCACCAGATTCAATTTCTCCCTCTGGGAAAAATGTAAGGGTCTTTTATCTCACAATATAAATAAAGCACATAACCTTGCCCAAATGCGGGAAAGGAAATTTTTGTTGTCAAGTACCAGGTCAGAGTGGCACACTAGCTGCTACTTAGTTTCTTTAATTTATAGTAGCTTAGATAGTTGTGTGTTTCTTGTATTAGAAATAACTCTCTCAGAGGCATTACTGGGAACATGCTTATTTGGTCAGAGTGATTTCCATATAAATTCTAGCCAGGTGGTGGTTGTTTGTATTTTGGTTGATTATACACAGTCAGCTTTGGGTCTGTGATTCAAGTCATGTCCTGCCCAATTTATATAATGTTCTCAGTAACTCAAAGCCTGGGACCAAGCTTTGCCTTCTCTTTTACAATCTTATATACTTTCTCTAAAGAGTGCAGCATACACAGGAAAATATTAATAATTCAGTATGTTTACATCCACAGTGAAGCTCACTTTGTTATTTAAGTTACTTTACTCATGTTAATTTATTTGAAACTACAAAAGCCCTTACCCAAATTATAATGCTGGCCTTTTAACATGCTGTCCGTATTCAGTGGTGGGCTCCGGGATGATGTATACTAGTGCCCATTAGGTGGCAGCGTTATATAAATAGAGAGAAATGTGTCTTGTCATTGGATTCCTCAAAGGTTTTGACTCACTGTCAGCCTTGGTGTTCTTAGAACTAAAATCAAGTCAATTTAAAATAATGCAACAATTAGGAAAATGATTACCAGTTTCAAATGTATCAATTTGGTTTTAAAAGGATATTGTATCAATTTTGTTTAAAATGATTTTGTTTGTGTTCTTGGCTTGCCAATACCTTTGTTATATTACTAAAGAAATATTCTAACAATGACTTCTTTTCTAGAAAATTTGTTTGCCTAAATGACAACATTGATCACAATCATAAGGATGCTCAAACAGTGAAAGCGGTGCTTAGGGATTTTTATGAATCAATGTTTCCCATACCTTCCCAATTTGAATTGCCAAGAGAATATCGGAATCGTTTCCTTCACATGCATGAACTCCAAGAATGGTATGTTACAGAGATTATCTTCAAGTTATTGTAGTGTGGTAGCATAGAATTATAGAACATATTGGTACAAGCAATTTTGTTCGCCTGGAATTGTCATGAAGGAGTTAAAGATGAAAATAATGTGACAAGATTTGAACGGACCACAACTTGAGATTTGCAGGATGCAGGTTTTTCTGGTGCTTATAAAGTCATTAGTATTTCATTTGTTGGCTGTAACCCACTTCAAAGAAAAAGTTGTTTGTTTGGTGGTAATTTTAAGTAATTCAGAACTTCTGGCTTTCTTTAAACCCCCACTATTTGGAATGCCTGTTGCACAGGGGCAATATAAACTGTTCAGTTTCTAAGTAAGGGTTGTTTTGTTGTTGTTTTTTAATCTGTCAGCAATAATCAGCTGGATAATCATCAGAAAAGATATATGTGTCTCATTTTTACATAATGTGTGAAAACTATGTGCTTCTTGAGATTTTATAAACAATAACTTCAGAAATGTCAGGAGTAGTCGATTTGAGAATACAAGCAAAAGGTTAGCGGGCACAGTGAAAAAAATGAGGCAAGAAGATTAGTATAGTAATCTTGTTGCTAATCAGCGAATTATGAGAAATAAATATTAGGAAAGAGAGAACATGACATGAACTGTAGAAATAATTATAAGTGACAAGAACAGGCGTGAATTGTAGTGATACAACCTGTAGCAGTGGCAGCAGGAGTGAGGAGCAAACCCACTCAGCAGTTAATCTGTAAAAATTTGTGCTGGAGAAGTAGACATACTGTTGTCTCTCTGAGGACATCCATTGAGATTTCATTACTTCAAAAGCACGCTTTGACTTGTCTGTAGCCAAAGATTTCAACCAGCATGAGTTAAAGCATGCTGAACTGCTGGTGAAAATCCATGTTTATAGAAACATTTTACAGAGTCATGGGACAGCCCAGGTCAGAAGGGACCTCGAAAGATCATCTGGCCCAACATTTTGTGGGAAAGAGAGCCTAGATGAGATTATCTAGCACCCTGTGCAGTCATGTTGTGAAAACCTCCATGGTGAGGACTCTACCATGTCCTTGTGGATTGTTCTCACTGTAAAAACAATTATATCAAGATAAAACCTCTCCCAGTCAAATTGTATCTGTTGCACATTGTCCTTTCCATGTGGCTCTTTGTGAAAAGAGAGCCTCCATCCTCTTCTAGCCACCCTTTCAGCCTGTTTGATGAAAACTCTTTGAAGTTTATATATTTGCATTTGCAATATATGAAGCTGTTTTTCTGTTTCCTTCTTTCTTTGTGCAGGAGGGCATATAGAGACAAGCTCAAATTCTGGACACATTGTGTTCTAGTAACACTTATTGTGTTTACAATCATCTCGTTTTTTGCTGAACAGGTAAAAATTAATACTCTATCAAATCTGTAATGCTTAATGTATCTTCAGGATAACATAATATAGATTTTTTTAAATAGGTTTTGAAGAGTATCTAGGATTTTACCTTCATAAAGGAAGTAAAGATGTTACATGGCAATGATTAGGTTGCTTTAATTTTTAAGGAACCATGTTGCGATTCCTTGAAAAGAGTCACGTGGGGGGAAGGAAAGCAGTATTCCCTTTTCAGGTGCCTTGTGGCTGTCAGGACCATCATCAGTGTGCCAGATTTGGATGCCCAAAATCAATAATTATTTTGTAAATTGTCTGTTAACAAACATATTGGTAAAGGTGCAAAGTAAGTTAATGGGAAGGAAATTTAAGTAACAGCTATACTCTAGTCCTGAAGAGAATCTTAAGATATCTAGAGGCCTTATCTAAATCTCATCCCTAAGTAATTGCAAAGACTTCTGTTGAATTCAAAAGGTTATGAATCTGACCCAAAGGAAAAAAACCCACCACTTCTGCAAGCATAAAATGGCTTTCTTGAACATGATTAATCCTGCTAAACTTAGAGGGAGACAATGGAACAAATCGTATGGGTAATTCTTTGCAGGTTGGGGCCTTAAGTAACACTTTCCGTGGTCTGATGAAGAGGGTGTAATTCTTGAAAGGTTGGCTTTTGATTATTTTTTTTTTTCCCACCTGTAACTTTTGCATGAATCTTTCTCTTGATTTTCAGCCTTTTGTATACATTAGAAAACTCATCCTTCATTAGTAACTTGGTTTTGGAAGGGGGTGCTCAACTTGGTAGTACAGCTAGGTGTATAAATAATGTTTAAGATGCCAGCTTCATGTTTATCTTTTAGAAACTGTATGTAGCCTGGTGTAACATAAATACACAAATTAGCCTTTAAATAATCAGAATATAGGCATACTGTATTATTTACTTTCTGCTTGTATTCTGGTTATTGAGAAGTCCGTTGGAAATCTGCACGCCTAATAGATGAATTTAAATAAATGACTTTCTGTGCAGTGTTGTCTTAATGACCATGGATGGGACAGATTTTATAAATTTTAGGCTGAAAGCCTGATCAGCTGTGCACCTCTAGCCCAGCAGAGAAGTAACTACTGTATTTTTTTCTCTCCTCAGCTAATTGCACTTAAACGAAAAATTTTTCCAAGGAGAAGGATCCAAAAGGAAGTTGGTCATGAACGAATCAAAGTGTAGAAGAGCTTTATTTTGGAGATCAGTCTACCTCAAAATGTGATAAGCATTTAAGATCTCTCATAAGTGTCTTTTATGGTTTGACATTTAACTACGTTAATATGAAGAGAAAAAATCATGCACCTGCAGTTAGAGTCTCTGCAGTAGTCTTCATGATACACAAGCTGCTGGAGCTGTTGACAATGCAAAACAACGAAAACGAATAATTGCAGGAAACCTGTACTTAAGCAGTTTTCAATAGATCTTACTTTACAACTGGTAGTTCATGGCCATTTTATCCTTTTTTATAAAAAGGGTTACCTAAAGAAATGTAACTGCATTTATTGCAGTGGATGTTGCCAACTAGATGAAATGTTGGGAGGTGAAGTCGTTTGGGATCAGCTTAACAGGTCCTTGATCTTGCATTCCAAAACTTTTTGCAAGTTTCTGTCGATGCTGCTTTTTTTTTTTTTTTTTTTTTTTTGCCCAAGGGGAAAATTGAAGTTTATGTAACTCATTTAGCTTTAGTATACATTTATTGATGTTGGCATACTTTAAAGCACAGTATGATAATTCATCCCCCTATTTGTAGTATTTAATTGGGATTTGGAAGAAATATATGCTAATAAAAAAATTACACAGTAATAGAACAAGTAATGGTTATTTGAAAGATATTTTATATCTGGTGTATTATATTCCAAAGAATACTATGGTGTTTTTTCTTGGCTTGATTACAAAGGGAGGGTTGTAATCAAATGAAAATGATCAAGGTATAGTATTTTACAAACATTGTGAATATAAAAGCAAAAGTGCCTCTATATGAATGGATAACAAATTGTTTTAATGTAGCAATGTATGGGAGCAGTGTTTCACTTCAGAAAACAATATTTGTACTAACATATGAAGCTTCAGTGTTTTTAATTTAACAGGACTTGGCCCTCTATTTTGCTGAGACATCAGAATAGTGCAGTTTTATGTGGGAAAGGATACTGGATCTTTTCAAGCAGAAATTTCTGATGGTGTATCTTCAGCTACTTGTTCTAGCAGCATTTTAAAAAAAGCATTCATTTTTGTAATCAGATGATGTACAAAATGTATGTGCATATGTGTTGTAGGATACTTGGTTTGCTTTGAAATGAACTAAAATGTGATAAAAGTTTTGTCTGTTGTTTCTGTTTTAAAGTAAACCAAAACTCCTATTTTGATAAATTAGTCATTAATGCATATGATTTCTCATGTTAGAAGTTTTTTTCCCTTAAAAATCTTCCAACAGTAGTAGCTTAAAATCAATTTGAAGCACTAGTGAGTTCTCGAAGTACAGTCAAACTTTTCAGCATTGTAAAAATGCAAGCACTTTTAATTATTAAGGTTATTTCTTGCTAACAATATATATTATACTGAAATGTAGAATATAAGTAGTTTAAATCTACAGTACTTCAGATGAACAGAAAATGAGAGTTCAAGAAACGTAAGAAATGTTTGGTAGCTTTTTGCACTTCAGACTATTATTAGGTAGATTCAAGTTTGACTAAGATCTGGGTTTTATTTTAAATGGCCTTTGGCATTCTAATCACAATAGTTGGAAAAACTTGGTTGAAATTTCAAAGGCAAATTTTCAGCTGAAGTTATGTATAAATAAACACATTGCATAGGTAGCTAAGCTGTCAGTGAGCTGCAGAGTTTTGAAGTTAGATTCATGCCATTTTGTTTCACTACAGCAATAAGAGCCCAAAAGATGTAGCACGAACTTACTGAGAAGCATTCATTGAAAATCACTGCTAAAAATATTGCATGCATGGTACCTGTGGAAAAAAATCAAGCAAGTGAAGCAGGATAAGATGCGAACAGTATTGTAGTGGCTACTAAGCACACACACCTTCCACCCCCCACACCCCCCAAGAATGGAAAAGCAAAGAGAGAAAAACTCGTGGATCAAGATAAAACCAGTTTAATAAGTGGAGGGTGAGGAGGAAACAGAGACCTAAGTAAGTGCTGCACAGGGAGATGCCGAGGTACTCTACCTCCCCATAGCAGACCAATGCCCAGGCAATGATCGCATTGGGAAGACCCTTTTATTGCAGAGCCTGATGTATGGCACAGAATGTCATCTCAGTCAGTTCAGGACTGCTGTCCCTCGCACATCACTCCTGCTGAGGGGACAGAATGAGTCCCTGGTGCTGTGCAGGCCCTGCTTCAGGCCTTACCAGCACCATTTTGGTCACCAATATGAAACACAGCACCAGGGGGGCTTCTGTGTGGAAAGCGAACTCCTCCCCAGCTAGACCCAGTGAAAACGTAAAACTTGGCTAAGGAAATACAAAGTAAAATTTCTCAGATGCTCGAGGTTAATGAGAACACTGAAAATTGAAACAGAGTTAGGATTTTGGTTCATGTAGGTTTTGTATTTGGTCTTTGTAAGTGAAGGGCAAAATACTTTTAACTGGCTGAGGGCAAAATCCTGGGAGAACAGTAGAAAAAGCTGGAAAACCAAAACTGAACCAACCAACCAAAACACACAAACCCCCAACCAAAACAAACAAAAACCTCCACAACCAAACCAAACAACTAAACCAACAAAACAATTAAAATCATAAAACGTAGTTTGTAAGATTGATCTGCCTTGAGAAATATTGCTGGTTGCACTGACTTAGGGAAAAGTACTCCCTTTGCATCACCCGCTGGCCTACATACACTAGAACAACCTATTTTGCAGGCTTTTTTCTTTCTTTTTTTATGGAAATTAAAGCCATTTCTATTAACAATGAAATCAGATAAAGAAAGGCAGGTGGGTTTTAGGCGAGTTTAATGTTGTATCTGCACAAGGTGACTGGCCGGGACCGCAGGTGCCGCTCCTGAGGGCCTGGGGCGGGGTGGAGGGTGTTAGGGTGCAGGCGCTCGCTCCCTGTTCCGCGGTCCGCTCGCTTTCCCGCCTTTTCCTCGGGGGCCGGAGCTGCTGAGGCGGC